CTCCACGAGGATCAGTTTCAAAACAACGTCCAGAGAGAACAAAGCTGGGCCGCGAGAAAGTGAAACTCTCGTCCCCGCGTTTGAGTTTGTCCAGCGGGAAATCGAGGCGGGATTTGCCAGCCCGCTTGAGGGATGGCCGCCCGGGCCCCTTAGCGATGCTCAGCGGCCCCTGAAGCGTTGAATGCTCTTTTGAAATACAGCGATTGTTACTAGAAGGGCGAAAACAGTGCGTTTGCTGTGGGTGTCCCCAAAATTCATAGCGTGGTTGGTTCCGTTAGTATGGTAATTGCTGCCAGTTCGGGTGGAATGTTATTGCATTAACGGTTATGTACGGTCTCCTCTTATGACACTCACTATAGAGTGGGGGTGTGTGTGTGTGTGAAACAATGCTTTTTCTCCGTAACTGTATTGTAGCAAAATTCTGTAAGGACTGAATATGTGCAGCAAGTCAGTGAAGTAACTTTTTACAGCGAATTGAAATAATTAAAAGTGGGTATTGCACGGGTTCTTATTTATTGTTTGGGTATTTTTAATAAACTGCTAGATTTCTCCATTTCGGTTTTGCAGTTTATCGTATCCCTTTTGTGTTTATCAGCTATGAAACATTTATAGAGCATATCAGTATAGAATGCATGTGTGAGTTAGAGCACTCTTATGATGTTAATTACTGTATAAATTTTATAGAAGTCCCTGTAAGGTCTAGTTGTATAAAATGCAAGGATGAGTTTTTTGAACTTGCTGCCTGGGCAGCATGCACCGAAATTGTTCAGCAAATAACAGTACCGTTGGCACAATGGAATGAATTAAGAACCTTATTGTAGTCAAAAGTGTGAATAGTTTCAAATTAATTTTTGTGTGTTTGAATTTTTCTGACCTCTTTCTGGTAGTTTATTTTACTGTAAGAACAGTCAGGGAGGACTGTTGCTTCCAAACTTTCTAAAATAACATGGGTCTTATTCAGGCTTTCACCATAAGCTTGTGATTAGACAGTACATTCTTCTTGGAGATGGTTTCATTGTGAGATGTTGCTGTTGGTTGTCGTAGTTGCCTTCTGCCATCATTGACTATATGCGCTGCAGATTCTTTCCCAACCAATGAGAAAGAGAAATAAATAGTAGTAACTCTTTCATACCACATAAATATGGTGTTACATCAGTCTTTCTCATACAGGTTATTGTCCTCAAATGACACAAAAATACATGTAAAGACACTGATGTGATTAAGAAACCTCTCTGTTGAGGAGACAGTAGTTCTTCTAAGTATAGTTACAGATCTGTTCAACAGTTTTCGTGCTCAGCTCTCTTAAAGCCACCTCTTTGGAAAAGCTATCCTAAGGGCATGAATGGTTGCTCACTCAAGTTTTGTTCTATTTGATGTGGTTGTAAGTATTGATTATTCTATGGAAATGAGTTTGTGTGACTGGTTTATTCTCGTACTGTTTATTTGGATCTTAAAGTTGATGTCTGCATGTTGCAAAATCATTGACAAGAGTTGCGTGAGGTACTTGAATAACAATAATTCTTAGGGTTTTCTTTTCTCTTTCTGCACACCTTTGCTAGTACATCCTGCATTGTATTCACTAATATGCATCATTTCTCAGTTTACGCTTCTATTGTAGAGTTATGCTGAACACTGGTTTCTAAATGCCAGCGTATATCTTAAGCATCCTGAGTCTTGAGTGTTTCGGAAAAGCCTCTTGTGTTGCTTAACAATGAACTGCTCAAACACTTTTTTTTTTTCCCAAAATGTTTTGCTACATGCATCCTCTACCAATTGCTTCCAAAGAGATGGGTGGCCATATTGATTGTAAAGTTTTAAATTTGTTACGTTATTAATTCTTATTTGGTGGATGTTTTTTAACACCTCAAATAGTGAAAAAACATATAAGATATTTGTAATATTCTAGGTCTGAAGACTTGCGCCGTGAATTTGGTCGTTATGGGCCTATAGTTGATGTATACGTTCCACTTGACTTCTACACTCGTCGTCCCAGAGGATTTGCTTATGTTCAATATCCTTTCTTCAGATGGCTGATTAGTGAGGGGTGTTGAAGTTTGAAATTCAAGTTTGTGTAAGAGGTAACAAATCTAAATGAAAAAGCAGTTTACTTTTGTGTTGTATCTAATAAGTGTCTTACTTATATTGTGGTGTTTCATTATTTTTGAAGATTAACTTCTCTCAATTGTTCTTTGCCTTTTTGCGAAACTTAAATCAAGTCCAGTAATATAAAAGCTTGCTTATGTCACTGAAATTAATACTATATGATTTAAATGAAAATTTATTGCTGACTCAAAATTGTCTAGCACGTGTTTATTATCACTGGTTTGTAAGTAAACTTGTGCTTAGCAAACTGTGGCTGGTATTCATTGTTAATTTAACAAATGGAAATTGGAATCACTTGATCAAAATCAGTTTGTATAAAAAATGAGGTGAACTTCTTTCTTTAATATTGTCCCCTAATTTACTGTCCTCTGTTGTTGCCTCAGAATGTAAAGCTGTACAGTAATGGCGACCCCAAAGAGAAAGCATGAAAGAACCTTTAGAGTAGAGTTCAACAATTAAGGCAAGTAGACAAGCCAAAGACCTCTTAAGGATCAGGCTTGAAGAGAAGGGAGAGTTTGGGAAAAGAAAAAATAAAGAAAAGCTGGAAGAAGGACAAGCCATAATGGGAGACAAAGCTTCGCTTTATCTACAAAAGGGGGAAAAGGTTGTTTTTCAAAGTAAAAGATAAAGCCATCTGTCATTTTTGGCCAAGCATCTCATGACAAGTCCTTCTGACAAGCACTTAAAGAGTTAAAGGTCAAGATGAAGTTGAATGGTGGCCAAGATTAAAGGAGTCATACCTGATGTATCCTACAGAATAACAGCTTTTCTTCTGTTTGTCACGTAAGCAGTAATTTGATGAATGATTCTGGTTTAGTCCATTGACAAAACCTGTAATATTTCTCTTGTGAGTGCTACTGTAACTGTGGTCTTGAATGAAAGTGCATTCTGGTTTATCAGGATATATACCTGCAACGTCATAGTTTATTTTCTGCGTAGATGGTGCTGATGATGAACTGAGTTGCTACAAGGAGAAAGGCAATTCGTTCTTTCAGGTCACATAGCTGAAAGGTGTGTGAATTACAGTAGTGGTCAATCTCGCAGATTAAAATTAGTAATGTCTGTGTTACTGAACAGCTGACCTGACTGAGAGTGTAGCGGTTTTAGTGTATGCTTTTTATCTCAGGCTGTTGAAGGTCTGTATACATGTCCATGGCATTACATAACTTAAACTTAAAAAAGTTGGTGGAAAAAAAAGGAAAGCTTTATCCCAATTCTAAAATTAATAGACACATGTTGAATTTACTGTTGGTATGCTGAACTTAATTTAAGAACTAGGGTTTAATTTTAGTAAAGTCAATGTAGTGAAGAGAACTGAGTGACCATTAACAAATATATTTTGAAAAGGATACCTCTTTTTTTTTTTTTTTCCTTGCATAAGTACAAGTGGGAGAAGGAAAAAGTTAAAGTATCACATAGCAAATGCTTGCTGATAAGTTCACAGTCATATTATGAGATTTTAATTTTATTATAGGAGTTGGCAGATAGCTGGTGGTTAATTTAAATGTACCATGACCAAAAGAACTTAAACAAAAAAACAAAACACAAACCAAAAAGTAAAATTAGGAAATAACTTTTTTTTTATTTTAAATACCAAATCTGTAAACTACTCAAATTCCCAAGTACCTTAACACTCACCACATTTGAAGATGTCCGTGATGCAGAAGATGCTCTCCATAATTTGGATCGAAAGTGGATTTGTGGTCGGCAAATAGAAATCCAGTTTGCACAGGTTGCATGTGTTTCATCAGACTATGATTTTAGCCTTAATGTTTAGTGCCAGGCAACATTACATGTGTTATTAATTGTTGTGATGTGTTCTTACTTGTATATAAATAGTATGTGGATGTTTTGCTTTTTATTTGGTAACTATTAATGACTCATTTTAATTAAAAACAGATAACTAAGTGTAACGGTCACTTACCACAATCTGATTCTTGCTGCTAGCTGAAAATTCTTAAGACCTTTCTGTGCAGCTCTACCAAGCTTTCTTTGCAGAAACACACTTGAAAATTCCCCCTGTCAAAATGAGTAGCCCAGTTTTAATGTATTGCAATGTTTATATTGTGTTGGAAGCGGGTTAGTGATTCTGTGTTGACATTTCCCAATGCAGTCCAATTTCCAGGATTGAGGTAATATTTTCATTTTAATTTGGCTTCAAGATAAAAGTAAATTTCAAGGTGTCTCAGTTCAACCTGGAACAGAAGTCTTATTTTCTGAAACAGAAAACTCTTCTGTAAAGAGAACTTGCATCTCTTCTATCTGTAATTCATATACATATTCTTAATATATAGTTAGATATTATATAAAAATAAAACATGGAGTTGGTAAACCTAACATATACTTGTTGATCTAAAACATGACTTTAATACTTATGTGCAGCCTGGGAGTAAAAGTGCCTTAAAGATCTTGCAGTTAAAGCTATGAAAGAAACAACCGAACTGTGTAGGTTTCCTTCAAATGCGCACATTTAACTTTTATTGAAGTTAATGGAAGTTATATGCTCTGAAGGACAAGCTTCTGTCCTGTATATAAACATTGGGATTTCTTCCCATTTCTGAACAAAAATTAACTAAATCTACCTTAGTGTTGTAAACAACAGCTCTTAAAACATAAAAATTGTAGCTATTGAGTAAAGATGGTGTTCATCACAGCACAATATGTTTAAAATACTTTGAACACGGTCTTTGGGTTTGAATGAGAATGGGATTTAATGTAAAGGAAAGATAGCTATGCTGCTTAGAGAAAATACAACAGAAGACTAATAATTTCATTCATCATTCTTAATTGTTTTGATAACTAAGCTACAGAGTGAATGTGCAATGTTGTACTGACAGGGGGAGTACTTTCAGAGTCAAACTTTGTGTGGCATCCATTGCTGCCTCTGTATAAGCTGTCTTAATCATTAAAGACAACTGTGGATCGGGTGTAATGCACGGTGCTGTGTAGTCAAGAAAGTGAGTGTTTAATTAATTCCCTGTTAACTTTCACTGAGTAAATTCAGGAATGTTAGAATGTTTCAGTCATGGGTTTGGCCTGTCACACCAGCTGGCAGGTGGCCCGAAATCACCTTAGCGAGTTCTCTGTTCTGGTTGTGTGGAGCATTAGTCCTTTCTTACTGTTTTTGCGGGGGTTTTTTTGTTTGTTTTTTTCCCCTAGATTTGTAATGCCCACAAGGCTTCATTAATTTTTGTTCAGTGGTTAAAGCAGCAAAAAGCAAATGGCATACAGCAATCTCTCACCTGTCCTTTTCATAAACGTCTCTGCAAGAATCATGAATTAGGCTTTCTGCTCAATACCAAGTATATGGATTTGTAGTGTCACTGAAAGAAAAGTGGGGTGTCTTTTTTAATTTAAAATGTTAAATATTGCTATTTTTTACAGCACCAAATCAAATGAAAGCCAAGGAAGGGAGAAACCTATACAGTTCTTCTCGTTACGATGACTATGACAGATATAGGCGATCTAGAAGTCGGAGTTACGAAAGGAGACGATCTAGAAGTCGTTCTTTTGATTACAGCTATAGAAGATCGTATAGTCCCAGAAAGTAAGTGTTGTGTGTGTTTGGCTTCAACTGCACAGCAGTCTGTGGGAGGAGAAACACCACGTTGACCTTAATTGTCTAAATTTTGAATACTCTTTTTCTATATTCACTTTGTAATTACTTGCGGGAGTTACGTATCTTGCATGCTACATCAAGTCGGAAATATTGAATGAAATGATTCTGTGCTGCTTTGAAGAATAACTAAAAGCAAACGCACAGCTTGAAAAATAATTTATTAAGCATTTGTATACATAGGTATTTGTCACCGTTTACTTTTTCTGATGTACCTTTTTAGCAGTAGACCTACTGGAAGACCTCGTCGTAGCAGAAGCCATTCGGACAATGATAGGTAAACTACTTTTTACACCCTTTAAATTGAAAACTAGATGACTGTATTCCTTTAACTATAGGTTTAAAAAAAGTTTCTCCTGAAAAAAAAAAACGGTAAACAATTTTTAATGTACTAGATGTCTAAGAATAGTGTTTTTACATTCAAATCTCCTCTCTCCCCTTTATTCTGATAGGTTCAAACACCGCAATCGATCTTTTTCAAGATCTAAGTCCAATTCAAGATCACGATCCAAGTCACAGCCCAAGAAAGAAATGAAGGCTAAATCACGGTCTAGGTCTGCATCTCACACCAAATCTAGAGGCACCTCTAAAACAGATTCTAAAACACACTATAAGTCCAGCTCAAGATATGAAAAGGAGTCGAGAAAAAAAGAACCAGCTAGATCCAAATCACAGTCAAGATCACACTCTAGATCTAGGTCAAAATCCAGATCAAGGTCGTGGACTAGTCCCAAGTCCAGTGGCCACTAACAGTGTATCCATGTTGTTTTTAGGCATGTAAGATTCATTTACACACAGTTCAGTTTACTTAAATTATCAGGAATATGATGTTGCAACAGTGCTAAAAAATATTTCTTTGTCAGTTTTCCCTGTAGCCGACAATGGTTAAAATTAAAACAGTGTTGAGAAGCCACTGAGAGAGAGAGAGAGAGAGAGAGAGTGTCCACTTGGTTAAATGTCATGGGCAGCTACTGATTTGGTTGTGGTGTCTCTATGTATATTTTTGTAAAGATTTGCATTTTTAATGCTTAGATATTGGTGATGACTTGATTGATCGTAACTTGCAACATTGTCCTATTAAAAAATGTCATACCCATAGAGAAATTGGTACCAGTTTGTGCTGAACAGTTAAACCAACTGTTTAACTTGTTCTTTAAGGCTAAACTTTGTGATAAAACGGAAAACTGGACAGCTGTAGTGCAACACTGACTGCTGCGAAATGCAGACTGGCAATTCTATGTTTCCATTGTTCAAAGGCAGGTTTCCGTGTTCTCCATGCCCACTGACACAAGTAGGTTGGTAAATGGAGCTCGATGGAGAGATGGTTCTGAGATTTCTCTTTAACCCTGCCATCTGGAGGGATGGTACTAACATTGCATGTACTACATGGGGAGAGAGTTGGTCTTGGGAGCTCAATCAGAGACTGTGCAGTGTCGTGACCTGTCAGGATAGAGGCTTCACGGCTTTTGACCTGGCTGCTAGTACTAAATGTGCGAGGAAAGAAAACCACATTGAAATGGAAAATTAAATTCCGATTTCAGCAAATGGCAGAGCAACTAAATATTAGGTTGTGTGTACATTTTATGCAGTTTTTGTATCTATTCTAAATTTTAGTGAGCAGTTAACCATAAAATTGCTTAGTTTTCCTGCTGTTAGATACAAGTAGATTGTTTCAAGTTGTGTGTGTACAGTATATAAGAACTAAACTTTTATGCCAATGACTCCTGTGGTTAGTTGGTGTATTCATAGGTGTAAAACTGTAGCCATCTCTCTTCCTGAGTAACAAAGGCTTGCTTTTACACATCAAAAAGTATTTGGTCAAGCAAGTCTGAATCACTGCTTCCTCAGAACGGATAGTGGTTCGGTTACAAGATTTCATTTTACTTAAGAACAAATGTTTGAAGTTGGATATGAACAAGAGCTGCATCTCTAGCTATTTAGTTTATCACTAATACAGTATATTTAGTAAATTGAATGTGAAAAATAACAAAACCAGTGTGTAATCTTACCAGTATTTCTCTAGAAGGCAAGATACTTTGTTATGAAAACGGCTTTTGGCGTTGTTTTTTTCTATTTACCTTCCAAAGCCAGCCTCAAACACCTAGTGTTCCTTGCTGTCTTATGTAGTAGCAGCGTATAAAGACATTGATTTCACAAAGTTCCTTTTTAGAGAAATATTTTAGGTTTTGGTTTTAGTGTTTTCAGCAGGGCCTTTGAAGAAACGCAGATGGCTTTTAAATACTGGCGGTGGAACGTGCTTAGGGGGTTGATTCTAGAATCTTTGTACATTTGATAGTATTTCTAACTTTTTCTTTACTGTTTGCAGTTAATGTTCATGTTCTGCTATGCAATCATTTATATGCACGTTCCTTTAATTTTGTAGACTTTCCTGGATGTATAGTTTAAAAACAGCAAAAAGTCTATTTAAAACTGTAGCAGTAGCGTGCAGCTCTAGCAGAGGAAAGTTGTGGGATTAAACTTTGTATTTCCTTTCTTATAGAGGCTTCTAAAAAGGTATTTTTATATGTTCTTTTTAACGAATATTGTGTACTACCTTTAAAACATCAATGTTTTGATCAAAATAACTAAAGACCCAGCTTATTTTCTGCTTGCTGTAAATTTAGCAAACATGCTGTAATAAAAAAATGAAGGAAATACTGATCCACTGGAATTATTGTAGCTTTAGAATTTGACTCCAGAGCATGGTTAGGAGTAGAGCTATGCATCCCTTACGGAGTAAAATCCTTACTATGGTATTTCAGTAAAGTCAGGAATTTATCGTTTAATGTCTGAATAAGTATCATTTCACATTTTTAAAGGGGTACTAGACAAAATAAGAATGATAACATATGTTTTAGTCTAATATATTGACATTTCTTTTCCATTAACTTTCATTATTGCTGGACGCACTGCCCTATGGTTATAATTTGGATATTATTAGCAAGGTTATGAACTACTTAAAATCATCAATTGAAAATTTCTAGAGAACCAAATTTCTAGTATCATCTTACCAATTTATATTTGCCATATCAAAAATTGTGCCAGCAGTGGTTCTCTAGAAGGTGGTAAAACTTTGCTGGCGACGTTCAGAATTCGAGCTGCCTCCTGGCACTCGTGGTGTTTACAACTGGTTCTTCTGCCACTGAACAAAAACAACTGAAAAGCACTTAATTGCTTTGATAAACCCACTCTTACACTTTGTAAGTTTGAGCTGTGATTATCTTGTAGCTGTCCGTAAAAATGGCTTGTAAGAGCAGAAAAGCCCACCCTTTCTCAGCTTGCTTAAATGAATGTAGTCTTCAAGACTAAAATCCTACTTACAAGTGTCCACCTGACTGTGTCGTGGGGAGGTGCAGTGATTCGTGTTTGCCAGCAGCCCGCCAGGCATTGCTGGCGTTAATGTTCATGTTAGTCCAGCCAGAATTAGAGCTGGATGGGTGGGGAGGAAGGAGGAGAGCATCTCTGTGTCCAGGCTGAGGTTCTAATTTGAGACTGCAGAGTAACAGTAACTATACCTTAACTGTGTTGTCAGCATGTCCTTATATTGTGTGCCTCAACATTTATGTATAGCACAGTTTAAATTTTTTTTTTGTTTTGAAAATCCAATTCATTGCAAGTATAATGTAGTATCTGACAGTTCTGATGGTTCTTTCTTTCTCTCCCAGAGGTAGGACTAAACTTTGACTTGACTTGTGTATATGAACAAGCCAGAAAAGCCGAACACAAACCCACGATGTTTCAAGAGTGCATGAATAAAGATGTTGTCCTAGTTCTTGCTCCCATGGAAAAATTGTGAAGAAGCTGTTCTGTGGGCCTTTCAGTTGGGGACGAGTTAGCAGGATGTGGCCAAAAGGGCAGGGAATGTTTACGCATTCATGCGAGTCAAGCCACAGCCCATCTAGATAACATCTCCCTTCCTTGATGCAGGTGTCCCAGTCCTGCTCTAAAAAAAAAAAGCAGTAGCCTGTCTTGCGCAAGCTACCTGCAGGTTATGCACAGCTGGAATGCAAGAACATACGCAGGCTACAAAAGATCATGTATAGGCATCTTTCTTTTGGAGTCTCAAGAACGGTGGGAATTATGTTTTTCTGTGGTAAAACTAGACTTTGTCATTCCTGCAAAATTTGTAGAATTGAAGTAGTGTGTTAAAAATTCTGCTGAAAGTAACAGCTGTGCTCCACAATATCTGCAGCGTATTGATTTATCTCAGCAGTAATAGAAGGCTCTATTGGAACTTCTTTTTCACCAAAAGTCCATGCACCCAACTGATAATTATAAATCTTAAATTTAGTGGTTAAGTAGCTGGGTGTTTAAATTAGGGACTATAATAGACTGGTCTCTGAAAGCTCAATGTTATCCTTTCTATGTCTTTTAAAGATGTTTAACTGTACAGTATAATGGCTTTATTCAAAGTGGAAATTTTCAATTCAAATGTTATTTTGAGCTCTCTTCTTGGAAAGAGCTTTTTTTTTTCCTTACTGTTTAGTCTGGGGTAACAGCTTGAAATATGTTCAGAGAAGGGCAATTGGATTGCTACACATCGCAGCACTGCTACTTGATTTTTTTTGGCAGGGATGTTGCAGATTAACATTTTGAAGTACAAAGGGATAAATTGACACATTTTTAGGACATAATCACCCATTAATAATTGCTGGTTTTCTCCATTTATCTTGTAACTTGCTTAAAAAGTCTGTAGTCCATTGCTATAATATTTGTCTAAAGATGCTCTTACTGATGAGACTATTCTAGGAAGGGAAGACTATGTACCCTGTAGTGTGTTTGATCAAAAGATGCTAATGTTTTATTCATACACATCCTTTCTTCTTGAGTTTTGTGTTCCATCTGTGCAAATAACCCTGTGAATTGGGAATAAAATGTACGAGTTTTGACTATAACTTGAGAGCACCTTCTGAGTTAATTACTACAGCTGTAGTTTGTTGGAGATTGAGCCCCAAAAAGCCCCAGGAGGGTCCCTCTAAGCCCAGAGCGCTCGGCCAGCAGAGCCCCATCACAGCACAGACCCCCCCAGCCCCTCGGCAGGCTTCCTTCTGTTCGGCGAGGGACGCTGGCGTTCATTGTCGAGCCCTGCATTCACAAAGGCCCGTAGTCTAAGAAATTCCTGCATCGGGAAGCGATTTCCAGCTTGTTCTGACACTCGGCCTGAAGAGACACGCAGAACACGCACAGGGCACTCAGGCTGCTGACTCTTAAAGCCGATTGTAGTTTCTCACCAGTTAAGGATAGGAAAGGGGGTGTTTAAATCCATCAGTCTGACACTGAAGTGTCGAGAGCTTTATCTCAAACTCTGAGCTGCCAAAAAATCCCACTTTTCCATTACCACCTTAAAATAAATAGATGCTTTTGGGGGGTGAAAAGTTTAGTTTATTTAAATTTTTGTTGTTTCCAATTGGTACATACACAGTTAGTAATTGACAATTTGAAGTCGAGGATACACAGTTGTAACTGGGATACAGCTCGCTTGCTGGTGAAGGTCCAGGTCACAGAGTCGTTCAGTTTAAAGGCCGCCAATTCCATCTTACTTGGAGCAATAGATTTGTAAACATTCAACCAGCTGCCAATGCATTTTGAATGTACAGAAACCATCTCAAAGAACACTTCCTAATCTGTAAAACTCCCTTTCCAGTTAAAGCACTTTTTTAGTAATTACTTTATTTTTTAAATAACTGTAGTCTGTTACCACAGTTCAGTTGTTTCTGTTATAGGATCAACTGAATTGTGACAGCACTGTAAGCTGCACACTGGCAACTGCCCCAGTACCTGATGGATTTTAGCACATATTGGGGCAAAATAATGTTGTAGCATTGATTCATTTTAGAAACAGAAACACAGTTTTACTATTTCATTAAACATCCAAACTCAGCTATTTGCATTTTTTGTGAAACATCCAATTTGATTTTGAACACCTTAGTGTTTTCTCGTCACTTAATATGCACCTCTCTGATACATTCAGAACATGAGGATCTTAAACTTGAGCAGCTTTTTTTTTAAATTTTTTTTAATTTTATTAAAAAATTCTGAATAAGCCTCTTTTGCACCGAGTTTACTTTATAAATGAGCTCACAACCAAGTAAAACGTGCATATTCACTGTACGTTAAGTGCAAGGGCACAGCCACATTTTTTTTTTTTTTTAAACAAAATATAAATCAGGCCACGTACTCAACATGGTCATCATACATTCAGCAGTTTTGTACTAAAAATACTTCTGTGCAGGAAAGCCCAGCATAAATTTACATATGCTACAAAGTTTTACATTTATTTACATGGCTCTGTCTTCCCTACGAAAACCTTTCAATACCTGCCACAAACTACTGCAACTTACAACAATTCTTACAGGGTAACCAATTTCAGACCAGGCTAAGGAACTACTCCACCTTTTTCACAATTTTAAAAACTGGTACAAAAATCGATTTTAGAACTCATCGGTGCAACTGGTATACAAAGGGGGTTATTTGGTTGGGGGATTTTTTTTTTTTAGTTTTTTGGCAGTCATCTGGCAACACAGTGTCATCAGTTGGCACAGTGCGACTTGTTGGGATTCCCATGAAGTATCCCCGGAGCTGGAGAGCAGCAACAGATTTGCCTGATCTGCGTTTCCCTCCTTGCAAGGACATGCACCAATATGTTTCCTAGTTCTAAATTTTAGTCACAGGCTTGAAATGCTCGTCTACCAATTCAAGAGTGCCAAATCAAGCTCGCAAGAGAATAATTTGTGTTTTACCTAGTACCCAGGTGGAGGTCTCCTCTGCTCAGCCAATCTGCTCTGCAGAGTTTTTATTTAACAAGCAAATTTTACACAAGTCTGAAAGGCAGCCAAGTACCTGCCTCAAGCTTTCAGTGCATCTTTTTCCAGTTAATGCTGCATTAAGTCAGGTAAAAGCTGTCTTTCTAACACCATAACAAAACGTAATCACAATTCCAATTTGGAGAGACAGTCCCATTTACTCTTACAATAAATACAATACATGGTGACTGTTGAGGATTCGATTCGATTGACTATAGAGAAAATACCCATTTCACAGTGTAGTGAACACAGCACACAACTTTTGAGGTAAAATGTAAGGGGAATGTGAACTTCCACCCCCTTCTCTTCCAAGTGACTACCTACATGCAGCAAGAACATCTAGTTCTGTACACCTGTGCACCTGGAGTTAAGGACAACAATTCTCAAATTTGAAACCCTGTAAATTTAAATAACTTTAGAAATGTGAAAGTTACATCTCAAGCCTGGACTTTAAGTAACGTTTTAAGCTGAAATGTCATGATTTCTTTATCAGAAGGTTTAAAAGAAACAGGTACCCAGTGGCTTGGTGGCTTAGGAAGAACACTTGGTGAGGGCGGCTCACTAAATTTTGCTCCAGCATAGTTCTGATTGGTTTGAGGTGTGAAAAACAGGTTGCGATTCGATAAAGTAGGACTCCAATTTTGATTACTGGGGTAATGAACATTGTTCTTTCCCCCTTTTTGCATGGCCTGCCATGCACCAGATGATGAGTTGCATCCATGTCCTCTTTCTTTCTTCATATAGGTCTTCATCTGCAAATTCTGGTCTTTATTCTTCTGCCTGTTTTTAAGTTGTTGATGGTTCTTGGTGATATTTCTAGACTGGGGAGCTGGAATGTTGAATCTTTCTCCA